CAATGTTTCAACCGCTGTATGGAGTGGAAGTGTCCCAGAACTGTCATAAATAGTCTATTTCTGACAGTTCTATGACATTCCCTCCATACAGCGGTTTCAACCGCTGTATGGAGTGAATGTCCCAGAACTGTCATAAATAGTCTATTTCTGACAGTTATGGGACATTCACTCCATACAGCGGTTGAAACATTGTATCTATTTTTTTCCATAAATGACATTCTGCAGATACACTTAGAGGAGCGCTGCAGATACACTTTTTGCCGGCTTGGAATTATTCTTATTTTCATCCTACTTCTTCTTCTTCTTCATCCTCATCCTCTTCTTCTTCTTATGAGGATGAGGATGAAGAAGAAGAAGATGAAGAAGAAGTAGGATGAAAATAAGATTAATTCCAAGCTGGCAAAAAGTGTATCTGCAGCGCTCCTCTAAGTGTATTTGCAGAATGTCATTTATGGAAAAAAATAGATACAATGTTTCAACCGCTGTATGGAGTGAATGTCCCAGAACTGTCATAAATAGTCTATTTCTGACAGTTCTGGGACATTCCCTCCATACAGCGGTTTCCGGCAAAAAGTGTATGTGCAGAGTTCCTCTATTCTGCAGATACACTTAGAGGAGCTCTGCAGATACACTTAGAGGAGCTCTGCACATACACATCCTCCTACTTCTTCTTCTTCTTCTTCATCCTCATCCTCTTCTTCTTCTTCTGAGGATGAGGATGAGGATGAAGAAGAAGAAGAAGTAGGATGAAAATAAGATTAATTCCAAGCCGGCAAAAAGTGTATGTGCAGAGCTCCTCTAAGTGTATCTGCAGAGCTCCTCTAAGTGTATCTGCAGAATAGAGGAACTCTGCACATACACTTTTTGCCGGCTTGGAATTATTCTTATTTTCATCCTACTTCTTCTTCTTCATCCTCAGAAGAAGAGGATGAGGATGAGGATGAAGAAGAAGAAGAAGTAGGATGAAAATAAGAATAATTCCAAGCCGGCAAAAAGTGTATGTGCAGAGTTCCTCTATTTCTGACAGTTCTCTGACAGCTTCTTCACATGTACAGCGGTTGAAACATCTGTATCCTAAATGGAAACTAATAGATACAATGTTTCAACCGCTAAACATGTGTTCCTTCTGTCAGAGAACTGTCAGAAATAGCGGAGCTCACTGCAGGGACACTTTTGCCGGCTGATCGGGAAATATTCGATTCGCGCACCCGAAGTAGGCAAAATTTCGGATTCGACGCGAATCGAATATTTCCTGAAATTCGACTCGAATTCCGGTTCGCCTGGTTCGATTCGCTCATCTCTAGTCAGAGGCCCTTTGACCGCTTGCTTAATTTTGACCCTGCTAATGTTATGTTATGTAATGCTTGACAGAATACACACTACAGAATTAAGAGGATGTTTTTTTCGTTTTGTTTTTTAAAATTTTTGTCTGTGCTATATTATGCAAGTACCCAAACATTTCTATGAGATGGATTACCGAGATTATAGAAAGAGAGAGAATGTTATAAAGTTGAAGAATTCTGCCTACCTTTGGGATGGTGTAGCCTCTAAAGATGGTAGTTTGAGCTGTTGCATGGGCAATTCCCAAGGGCGCAATGTCTGAAACTCTCTGTATCTCATGAATGACCGCTTCCATATATGACATCCTGTTCCGATCTTCTATAGAGGGACAGCGGTCCCGACCAATTACATTGTCAATTTCCTCCTGGACCTTTGCTGAGAACACAAATTCCAAGTTATATGGGAACAATTACTGCACTAAAATTCTACTAGTAGCCCATTAGTTATTAAGGGAATAAAAATGGTAAAGAAATGTAGTTGAGTTGAGCCACTGAGTAGTGACTACTTGTAAGAAGGACTTTGCGATTGTCTAGTGATGACGCTAAGAGCACAAGTTCCTGCCCAGCTTCTACCTTTGCTAGAACACTGTCCCTCCTGCTGAGGTTGATCCATCCACCATAATGTGCCCCACTCCATGCCAGAGTCCTCCACATGACCTAGTTGTTGACCTTTATATTCCAAGGAAGAAATGCCCACACATGAATAGGGTGGCTGTACTTTTTTTGATGGTACTCAGAAAATGGCATACCAGTCACAGCACATTGACATACAATCCGGAGTCACTTGATAATACATTGTCACATTTAGTGGACGGTCCGCAGCAGTCACATGTGAAAGCATTTGCAGCACTTTAAACAGCCATCTCTGTCCAACAGTCTCTCCTTTCACCTGGGGTAGTTAGTACTTACAAGACTGGGTGTTCTCTGTAAGCACCTCTTCCATAGGTACACCTCTGAATGTGCCAAATCTGACACATTCCACGCAAAACCCCAAAATGGACTAAAGAAAATTATTGGCACCCTTAGTTTAATATTTAGTTCCCACCCCTTGGAAAAAATAACTGAAATCAATCACTTCCTGCAACCATCAATAGGTTTCTTACACTTCTCTACTGGAATTTTGGACCACTCTTCTTTCAGATTTGAAGGGTTCCTTTTTCCAACAGTTTTTTTGAGATCTCTCCACATGTGCTCTATGGGATTGAGATTTGGACTCACTGGCCAGTTCAGTACTCTCCAGCGCATTGTCTGAAACCATTTCTGGGTGATTTTTGATGTGTGCTTTGGGTCATTGTCCTGCTGATAAAGATCTGACTTTCTGACACTGGGCCCTACATTGCACCTCGGAATTCTTTGGTAGTCTTCAGATTTCATAATGCCATGCACACGGCCAAGACATCAAGTGCCTGAAGCAGCAAAGCAACCCCAAAACATCAGTGAACCTCTACCGTGTTTGATTGGGGTGCAGGTCTACACTTCCCCAGGTCTTCAGTCCTGTCCAGGGTCTCCATGTGCTAGTTACATTTTTGCTGGTGTGGGGTATTTGGCTCCCATGCCCCAACTGCACAAAGTCTCCTCAGGTAAGTTTTGGCAAACTCCAATCTGGCTTTTTTATCTTTCTGTTTCAGCAGTGAGATCCTCCTGGGTATCCTACCATAGCCTCCTTTTTCATTCAGATGGCGACGTATAATGTGAGCTGACACAGTTGTACTCTGTGCCTGAAGGTCAGCTTGAATTTGTCTGGAAGTTGGTTGTGATTCTTTATCCACCATTCGAAAAATCCTTTGTTGCAATCTTTGATCAAGTTTTTCTCTTTCGTCCACATCCAGGGAGATTAGATACAGTGCCATGGACTGTAAACTTCTTGACAATGTTGTGCACAGTGGACACAGGAACATTAAGATTAAGGAGCATCACAAATTTGGTATGTGATTATTTCTTACAATTTTGAGAATGTGCCAATAATTTTGTCCAGTCCATTTTTGGGGTTTTGTGTGGAATGTGTCAGATTTGGCTTTTTGGTTCTCCATTTTTTTGTGTTATACCAATTTAAACAAAAGAAATAAACATGAGAGTGCCCAAACATTTGTAATTGCGACAATTCCATGGGCGAAGTGGTGCATTATCTGACAGAGAAAACAGGGGTGCCAATATTTTTGGCCATGACTGTTATATATAAAGAATGTAGAAAATAAACTGGAACAAGGCCGGGTTCTTCATATTATTATTATTATTATACAGTATTTATATAGCGCCAAAGGGTATGCTCAGCGCTGTACAGTAGCAGGGGGACATAACATGAGACAAGACAGTAACAATACACTACACGAGGGGTTCGAGGGCCCTGCTCTTTCGAGTTTACAATCTAGGAGGGAGGGGAAGGTGGCACAGGAGGAGATGGCTGTGGGGGATGGAGTGGTGAGTGGAGTGAAGGAGGTTAGTTGTTAGGTGAGGTTGGGTGTTAGGTGAGGTTGGGGTAGGCTTCCCTGAAGAGGAGGGTTTTCAGGGTGCGCCTGAAGGTGAGGAAGGTAGGTGACATTCTGATGGATTGGGGTAGGGAGTTCCAGAGGATGGGGGAAGTCCTAGAGAAGTCCTGCAATCGGGGGTGGGAGGAGAAGACCAGGGAGCTAGAGAGCAGGAGGTCCTGTGAGGAGCGAAGGGCACGGGTAGGGTAGTATCTGGGTATCAGGTCAGTATGTAGTTCAGGGCAGCATTGTGAGTGGCCTTGTAGGTCAGGGTTAGCAGCTTGAACTTGATGCGTTGGGCAATCGGGAGCCAATGAAGGGATTGGCAGAGGGGGGAGGCAGATGTGGAGCGCTTGGTGAGGTGGATGAGTCTGGCCGCTGAGTTTAGGATCGACTGGAGTGGGGATAGCGTTCGTTTGGGTAGGCCAGTGAGAAGGGAATTGCAATAGTCCAGGCGTGAGATGATGAGGGAGTGTACGAGTTGTTTGGTGGTGTCTGGGGTGAGGAATGTGCGTATCTTGGAGATGTTGCGGAGGTGGAGCCTGCAAGATCTAGATAGCAGTTGGATGTGGGGTAGGAAGGAGAGGTGGGAGTCCAGTGTATTTTTTCCAAAAGTATAGGTTTGATAAACAGTTGCACAAATAGCATGCAATATATTTTTTTTGAGAGGGGGAATTTAAAGTGTAACTAAAGGCAAGACATTTTTTTCATTTAAAATCCCTGTAATTTCTTTTCTGCCATCTGCATCCTATAGGGGAGATTTCCATTCACTTGCTGTCCCATAGCCAAAACAGGAAGCAAAAGATATCCATAAAAACCATGTGTGTAAAAAAGTTTTAAAAATTGGAGTGACGGTAAAAGGTTTATTTGTAGTAGAATATACTTTAAAAAATGTTTAATCTGTTTATTTTCTAATTTACGCTAGAAACATCATAAACAATGGTTACAATAGTGGCAGTTATATTTTTTTCATCATAATCCCTATTTACTTTATGTTCACTATCATAAGGGTCTTTTCCATAAGATGTATAGTAAAATATATGACAAGCGAGCGTACAATTATTTTCAAGCAGCTGGCATTAAGGATGAACCCCTATATCCTCAAAATGACAAAATAAAGAAATAATGCAGCGCTAAATTCATAAAGTGACAAATGCATATAAAGTGAAGCGCAAGATATTAGCGCTAAAGTGACCACAACACAAATAAAGTGTATCGTCAAAATTGACGAAAATTAATGTGACCAGAATTTCAGTAGTGACAATAGTGAATAATTCCACACAAATAATAGTAGTGATAACAATAGTAGTGATAAACTAAAATATTGATGAATAAATATGAATAAAAAATTAATATGAAGTTGCATAAAATAAGTCCAAAGTGTTCTGTAAATCTCCATGCACATGACTTCCGTGATAAGGGTTTGTAGTATGATTGCACTCACCAGATGCGCAATGGTAATGCACATGAATATATATCCAACTAATCCTCGGTGAACATCTGGACTCAGGAAAGGAAAGGGACTCCACAGGCACACTGACAGCATACAGGGAATAACTCCAGACCTCACACACTGAACCCTCACAGTACACAGGGACAGCTCCGTTAGTACCTCTCCACCAAAGATATGAGTTGCCATAAGAGGATATTCTCCACCTTGAATGGACAAGCCACAAACGAAAGTACTGATAGTGTAGTATTTTTTAATACAGAGAAAGTTCATCCATGTGGGTATATCAGCACACTTACAGAAACAAAGATGGCTGCCGGCCTTCCATGTGGCCTCGGCGGCGTGACGTCAATGCGGCAAGGCTCCTCCCTGACACGTTTTGTGCGCATTCATGTTGTCAAAGGGATTTGTCCAAGGGATCCCTTTGACAACGTGCATGCGCACGAAACATGTCAGAGAGGAGCCTTGCGCTTCACTTTATATGCAATATCTTGCTCTTCACTTTATATGCATTTGTCACTTTATGAATTTAACGCTGCATTATTTATTTATTTTTCCATAAGATGTATTAATGGTAAGTTTATGCATTTTTTTTATTCTCTCTCTGAAATAAAGGACATTTGAAAGAAGGGTGCTTAAAAATATTTCTTGCCATCATCACAACCATTCCAAAACCCGGAAAAGATCCCCAACTCGTCCAAAACTACAGACCGATCTCTCTATTGAACACCGACATAAAACTCTACGCCAAAATTATAGCCCAAAGACTTCTCCCATGCCTTCCTCTACTAATCCATCCAGACCAAGTGGGATTTATCCCGGGTCACCAGGCAACAGACACAACCAGAAGACTCATTTCCCTCATTCACAAACTGGAAACCACCAAACAACCCTCCTTACTCCTATCCTTGGATGCTGAAAAAGCATTTGACCGCATACACTGGCAATTTATGGAACTGACACTCAAAAAATTCGGAATCATAGATTGGATGCTCTCTCTGCAATCCTCTCTCTTTACTCTAACCCTTCCGCTAGAGTATTAACAAACGGCACTTTCTCAAACACCTTTCACATATCCAACGGTACAAGACAGGGTTGCCCCTTATCCCCCATAATCTTTACGCTACTCATCGAACCCTTAGCTTCCAAACTAAGAGATGACCCGACCTTTACTGGAATCACTCACCTGAATAAGGAACAGCCTTTTTGCAGATGACATTATATTGATGGTAACTAACCCACACAAATCACTCCGCTCGATCCATGCACATCTCCAAAGTTATTCAGATGTATCATACTATAAACTCAATGAACCCAAATCTTCCATATTAAATCTCCACACCTCTACCAAATCTCAAATTTCGCTAGCTAAACAATTTCCCTTCACATGGGAACAACATACAGCATACAATACTTAGGAATCAGATTGACCGCCACAACAGACCAACTTTATGCCTCAAATCATAAGCCCTTACTCGAATCTATCCCATGAGAACTCAGTAATCTTCGTACAGCAACACTTTCAAAACTGGGTAGAGTAGCTACCCTGAAAATGAACATTCTTCCAAAAATTCTTTACATATTCTGCACGCTTCCCATTCCTATCCCAGATTCATTTTTCTCCAAATTACAGGCGATACTTGCTAAATTTCTATGGAATTAAAAAAAACCCAGATATACTACAAATCTATTAATACGACCATCTTCCAAAGGAGGAGCGGGTCACCCACATTTAAAATCATATTATAAAGCCACTCTTCTAGACCAACTCTATTTTTGGTGGCACCCAACTAGAGAAAAAACATGGTCCACCATGGAAACACCCTCACATATCCGAATTGCACCACGTGACCTACTTTTCTTTCCAACAAATCCTCAATCCAATACTTTACTACGACACCCTTGCATTCAAGCCTCCTTACAAGCTTGGCATGATTTTTTAGCACTAAAATTGATAGAATCCAGACAAGTACCTACTCCAATTACAACCCTACACCTCCTTATCCCTTCCTTAAACCTGTTACAGTGGGAACATCGCAGCATCTCGCATATAAAGGATCTCTATACAACCCTCAACCTAGACTCCTTTTCGACCCTTCAGAAGAAATTTAACATCCCTGACAAAGAGCTTTTCCTCTATTTAAGAATTACACATTCCCTTCAAAAGATAAAAGTTCCACTTTTCTTGAAAATACCCTCCACTGCGTATCAATTTCTCAACAAAATGCAATACCCGAAAAAAGGGATCACAACCTTTTACACACCTATAACCAACTCACTGTATTCTCTACAGACCTCTTCTCTATCCAATTGGGAGAAAATTTTCTCACAACCAATACCACCGCTCACATGGGAAAAGACCTTTAACATCACCCACAAAGCATCTAGATGTAGCTCCCATTGGGAATCATATCTGAAAATCTTGCACCAATAGTACCTAACTCCAGCTAAACTTTCCTTATACTACCCTCAACGCTCTCCCGCATGCTGGAGACAATGCAGAGAAACAGGATCAATCCTACATATACTTTGGGCATGTAAATCCCTTAGATCTTTTTGGAACAGCGTTTTCCATTTGCTCTCAATGGTAACCGACACCCCAATAACACCAAACCCTGCCCTTGCACATTGGAATTTAAAAATTCCCAAGGGACTCTCGCACTATCATTATCCATACATTAGCAGCAGCTAAGACCAACCTTACTAAATTATGGAATTCCACTAAAACTCCCTCTCTTTCTTCACTCGTATCAGACCTTAATTTCCAATGTGATATGGAAAGAAGAACAGCCCTTAATAATTCTTCCTATCACAACTTCAAACACCAATGGTCTTGATGGCTTCAGAATCCAAACTGCTCCGTAAAAGACTGATAATCTAACTGTATATTACCAAGACCCCTTGCCTATGACTGGTGCTCTCACCCCCCCCCCCTTCCCCCCCACCCTACCTCTTATCCATGTTCCTTACCCTCTCTATATAACACCCTCACCCTTATACGGTTCATATCAACCCGAGCATACCCTTCAGGTCAATGCAACTCAGCTACATAAGATCCCCAGCCAAATGGTGGGGAAATATATAACATATATTGATGTACTTGACTGTGAACTGTATCTCGTACCATGTTTATTACCATCCATGTTTTGTACTGAAATCTTTCAATAAAAAATATTGAAATACAAAAATATTTCTTGCTAAAATGGGTCCCACTTTACTAAGAACATTTCCACATGTATTAATATAATTGTCATGTTCCATATTTACCTAATACATCCTGGTACTTGGTCAAAATTGTTAAACTTCGTTTTAAAGTGGTGCTTGTAGTTTCTGTCCCAGCAACGAAAAGATTAATCACAGAAACAAATAGGTTCTCAAAGTGGAATTCCGTATTAGGATCATCTTTCTCCTGTGAACGAAAACAAGATAATATTATAAATGCATATTGAAGGACTCGATTTTTTGTCTATAGTCTTACTGTACAGACAGTCATGTGAGATTCCATACTTTGCTTTTTAGTTTTAGAAATTGAAGATGTTAAGATGTACTGTATGGCAAAAATGTATTGCAAACCATGTCTTAGAGTTCCAGGGTAAAAAAGTAACATTGGGGTCCAACAATAATGTTGAAATGAAGAAGTAGACTCTAAAAAGATGCTTCCTTCTGCCTGCAGCAGACCGACAAAATTATCCTAGCCTAAGCAGTCACTGACTAGGGTTCAAAGATGGCTTAATTATGAAAAAGATGCAGTTTGTCTGAAGAATTATATTGAGCTGTTTGTGGCATGTAAAAACATTTTTTCAGAACAGGAAATGCCAGAATTGTGATGTCTTCTTCTGAACTGAACTTAAATGACAAACATTGTTATCTTCCTTCCAGGCTGTTTTATGTAAACAAATAATGTCCTTCCCCAGGATAATGGAGTGTTTGCAGTCCAATCAGGAGAACAGCCTAGGGTGACAACCATATCTCCTCCATGAATAAAATAGAATTGAGCGACCTTAGTGACCTGAAGACAGAAAATGTGTTATTTGCAGGATTACCAAGTACAAAACCTGAAAAAATATGTAGAGCTGCCCTCTCAAGGACCGCTGGATTTGGTTGTGTCCCGATAAGCTCTTTACAGCCAGGTAACACATACTTTTCCACATCTTGCACCCAGAGTCAATAATATAGTCCTTGAGCTGGTTTTTAGTTGTTTTTATTGAAGGGTTCACAACTTGGATGGAGTCTATGGGTATATGGGATGCCCTAGGAACTGTAAACTTGAGAATAAACATCTTAGCAATCTGTACACTGTACTAGAAAAAAAGGCAGATCTGAAAAAATAGCACCATCTCTTTAAAGCGCTCTAAAGTTCACTTGGCATACCCCAGATGAATCCTTCCTCTTCAACCAGCTGCACTGAGGGTATTCCTGGACAAAGGATTCCAAAATCTAGCAGTGAAGTAGTCCTAGACGAGAACTAGTTGGGTCTTGTACGTGACCGCCCTCTCCCTTTATCTTGCCTAGGGGGTGTAGGAGTACTCACATTGTCCTGCCCTGCCAGTGTGGTGGGTTGGTGTCTGCTTTCAGGCCTTTTGTTGGGCTGGTTCCTTCTCTGCTGCTCAGGATATCCTTCCTAAGAGACATCAGGCAGTGGAGATCCTCCTTTCCAGCATCCTGCCTGTAGGTAGGCTCCCCTTCCTGGGGCCCCCTCCCAGGTTCCACACTCCAGCCTTCTCTCAATCCATCTTTCACCCAGCTCCCTGTCTGCTCAGGCTCTATCATTTTTAAGGGCTGTCCTTGGTCACCATACCCGGCTTTCTGCCTGGGTATTGGCCAACTGCCCTCAAACTTACAGATCTGTCCTCCTCTCCTCCTCTGCCTCTTTTCCAGAAAGTTCTCTAAGTTTCTGGAAGGGTGTAAAGCTCAAGAAGCCCTTACCTCCTAGCCTGTCCTGAAGTGAACTCACTACCTCACTCCTAGGTTGACTCATCCGAGGCTGCTACCCAGCCTGTAACTAACAAACATAATATACCTAGCTACTTAAAGGGATCTACAAAGAAAATCAATGTAGCCACCTCATGTAAGGTCAGCAAGTATAAAATGTTTGTTTATGGTTTAGATTCACTTTAAATTAAACTACTAAAAAAGGCCACTTAAACTGGAGCCAACCAACACTCCCCCCCCCAAAAAAAAAAATTATATTGCAGTTTACCATCTCTTAGATGTGGTGGCTGCATTTGTTTTCTTATTTTAGACTTTTTTTTTGCACCCATCTGGTGATCCAGCCAGTAAGTCTTTTATTTTTTTACAGACCAAACTGTCCAGCAAAAATGGCAGTTAGAGGGTTGAAACAAACCATTTAACATGGACAGGGGTGCTGACAATGGTTAGCTTTTATTCATTTATATGTAAAAAATGTATCTCCCCCAAAAACACTGTTGTTTAACTGCTTAAAAAGTGTTAGCTGGAGTTCATCTAAATCTGCTAAATCATGTAACACTACCATCCCCTCAGACTGACAATGCTGCTATCTAAAGGTGTCTCTGCTACTCTTCTATAGACTGGCCAGAGCGCCAGGTAAAATAAAGGAAAAAAAACAAAAAAGAAAGCTAATGCAGGGTTGGTAAACTGCAATATATTACATTTTTATTTTGTTTTTGATACTGCTTTAAGGAGCAATCCACTTTCATAACAACTGTGAATGTGTTTCTATCTTTACGGTGCAATACCAATTTTTGGATATTCTTTTTAATGGCCCAGATGTAATTAATTCTGCTTTTAATGACTCTACTTTGTAATTTACCTCCTCCATCTTTAGAAGAAAGCAATCTATAAAATCCCTGGGACAGTCTTTGTCCAAAGTCTTTTCATGTTCATTGACTTTATCCTTAACAAAGGCTTTGACCTTATCCACTTTTTGTAAAAGTTTCTGTGGTCCAGAGAGATGACGGAACAACCTTGGGAAATTATTGAACAACTGTAAAGAAAAAAACATACAGAAAAAAATAGATTAGAGTATGTTGACGCTGGTCTACAAAATGTACATATAAAGGCTTGTGGCAATGCCCCTTAATCCAGCTATACATGGATCAAAATTTGGCCGGTCAGCAAGGACCAGTTGAATTTTGATCTACATATGGGCAGGCTGGTAGTACACAAGTTGATCTGTCAATCTATTAATTGCCTTTTGTACAACCAGCCTGTTGGAAAATTTTCTCTCCATCAGTGCCCCCGGCTATAGCCAGCAGTATTGTTGGGTGTATTCAATGGAAATTTGCCTGCTGTCAGAATACTGTGACTCCGCAGGAGGGATTCTCTCATCCACAGTGAGTGTGCAGATGGGGGAATCAAGTAATTTCCTTTTGTTTTTGTTCAATCCACTGGTTGAGCAAAAAAAATTACTGGTGTATGACCAGACTTAGAAAAAATAATTGCAAACAGCCCTCTCTAAAAACTTCACTTGGCCAGGACTAAAATAAAACAATGACCAATGGACTCTGCTGCAATCTAGATTTCAATCAGTGCTGGATGGGGCCATTTATTCACATTTGTGTACTTTTGGGCAGATTGATGATGATGGAAGATAATGATGATGATAACAAATATTACACATGTTTTGCTTTAATTCTACGTATGTAAACCCAAACTAAAAGTGTGCATACTATTTTGTTATATCTATTTTATAAAAATTAAAAAATACCCGTTGACCTGAAGAAAATCCAGTGAGCTCCTAAATTCAGGTTCATTCTCTCTGCCTGGGAGGCACTTTTATCACTTAGCATTTTCCCTGGTTCTGTGAATTCTGTAATACTAACAAATGTCCTGTTCTATGGTGACCTGGGCTTCTCCATAGGTGCAGTCGGTTGATTAAGCATTGTCACCCTAAGGCTTCATGCACACTAGATTATAAACCGCCAGTGCTCTTGGCAGAAAAAAACACCTATTTAAAGTCAACACTCTGGTGCACTAGTTGCTGGATGATCATCAGCCCCATTACCTTGTGCTTCTGTGTTGCTTGACTTCTGGATTCCTGTTGCTGATTCTGATTGCCCCTGGACTTGTCTTGGCTCATCTCCTGGCTCTGACTTCAGCTTGTTACACATACTCTCTACTGCCTGCCTCCTGTGTATGACCCTTGGCTTGCTCTACCGACTCTGCTGCTGCTTGATTGTCTCTGTATGACCTCGGCTTATCCATCTGACCTCGCTCTTACATGATCTTTGGTGTTTGACCATCGGCCTGCTTCTGACCTTGCTTCTGGCTCCTGCTCCTGATTGATCACCTACACATAACCTCTAGCCTGACTCCTACCATGCTTCCTGCCTTCTGCTTAGTTCTGCCTGCTACGTCTGGAGAACATACACCTGCTGCTGAGTTTTGCCTGCTACATCTGGAGAACATTTGCCTGCTGCCAAGATCTGCCTGCCATGCCTGGAGAACTTCAGCTCTGCAGCCATTTCCATTGATTCTGCCATTCCCAGGTGATCATCATCTCAACCCACTGGCAACCCATGCTTCTCTGGGCCAAGCACCTCCTGTTCCTACCTTCACGGGTGTTCCACACTTAGCTGCAAGAGGAGCCCTCTGAGCACTCCGGCTTCTGACTAGGTACAAGACACCCACCCATGTTCTCCTGAAGAAGTGAATGTTGTTCATGAAATGCATTGAGATGTCTTCTGAGCTTCATCGATACTTTGATGTAACATCTATACATAATTGTTAACTTACATTGTAATTAAATTGGGTGAGACCAATGTGAAAGGTGGTCATAGATAATAAATATGCTGCCATAGGGTTTTAATACCAAAATTAATTAAAGTTGATCTTATGATCTTTTATACGTATTCAGGCCTCATGCACATGGCCATTTAGCAGCTTCTGTATGCTGATTTGTAAAATCCCCATCACCTTCCTGCACCCAGGCATGTGCGTATGGACGGCATGTGCTTCAGAACACAGGAGCTGCTATACGTCCCAATGCATGAAGTCTTATTCTTAAAAATTCTAATATTGTTATATTTACAGTAGTTTTCTTGTTAACTGCATGCATGCTATGTAACATTAAAGGGCTCATTTACAACTACAGTGTGTTTTAATGCACATGCGCAAGCTGCACAAATGTGCACAATGTGCAGTGACCATCATGTACATCTTGGGGACTGTACAGTTTTTAGTTGTGTTCACAAATGTTTTATGCAGATTGGCTTCTGCTGCAGACTCAACTTGAGACTTCTGACAAATTTACAATGTATAGTCTGATCGCTAGGAAAGATAAGAAATGAAAGAAAGACAGAAAGAAAGAAGAAGAAATGCTTATACTGCCTGCTTCATTTCAGCCTAAGCAAAGCCACTTGTCTGGAGTTCAGGGGCTGTTTTTTAAAGGAAAACAGGAACAGGGGCAGACTGACAACTCATGGGGCCCCCGGGCAATAGGAGATCATGGGCCCCTGTGTCCTTGCCCAAACTCAAAAAAAGCCTATGAAAAAGGTACCAGGGGCATCTCATGGGGCCCCCTACTGACCCCGGGCCCTCGGGCAGTGCCCGAGTTTCCAAATGGTCAGTCCGCCCCTGAACAGGAACAGCTTTGCTAAAAAATTATATGGTATCTGTGTATTATGATATGTCATGAATACATTCATACAGACTTTGAACATTTACTGAAATATCAACTTTAAGGGCCAGTTTGCACCATAGAAGCACAGTCCAGATGCGTTCCCGCATGCACGTTCTTGAAGCATTTTTGGCACATTGCGGTGTGTTTATGATGCAATTTTTATATGTTCTGCTGCGTTTTTAATGCTTTCCGGTTATTTTTTTCCCCTCTCTTTTTCTTCAATTTAAATATGGAGATGTGCCTTTCAGTGCATTTTTGGTGCATTTTACCACATTCCAGTACAGTTTTTTGCAGGAAAAATGCAGCCTGTTCTACTTTTTTTTTCAACTGCAACTGCAAGCACTGATGTAAGCTATGACATTATCAATCATTTAACCTACTTTCTGTGTGTTTTGAAAGCAGAAAAAAAGAACACTGAAACACATGTAATGCGAACTGGCCCCTAAGACAGAATGTGCTTACCTGTAAAGATCTCGATCTTGCTAGTGTAAATATTTCTTTTATTGCTTCAAGAAGTCCGAGAAAAGTCTGATTTGAATAGTCAAAATGTTCACCAAAGACAATGGAACAGATTGTGTTGGACACTGCCAATGTCAAGGGGTAAGTGGGATCACAAGGTGAACCTAAAAGCAAAGGGGAAATTTCAGCTTGAGCTGTTAAGATCTGTAAACAACTCAAAAGAAACATGTTAACAAGGAGCACTAAGCTGTACTTGCTGCTGTAAAAGGAAAAAAAAAAACCCTTAATATTAATACACAATGTTTCATGTTTATTTGACCAATACAGAAAAGAAAAATGCCTAAAAAATGTGTTAAAGCAAAACTAAATCTGCATTGTGTTGGCTGGGATTTAACCATCACGTGTAAATATGCACAGAATATTTACACAATATCGCAGATTTGACTGCCAGGTGGATCCCTCTAACACTGTAACAGCCACTGACTGACCCAGGATGACACTCACCGGCCACTTTATTAGGTACACCTGTTCAATTGCTTGGTAACACAAATTGCTAATCAGCCAATCACATGGCAGCAACGCCTTTAGGCATCTAGACATGCTGAAGACAACTTGCTGAAGTTCAAACTGAATATCAGAATTGGGAAGAAAGGGGATTTAGGTGACTCTGAATGTAGCATGGTTGTTGGTGCCAGAAGGGCTGGTCTGAATATTTCAAAAACTGCTGATCTACTGGGCTTTTCATGCACAACCATCTCTAGAGTTTACAGAGAATGGTCTGAAAAAGAGAAAATATCCAGTGAGTTGTGTGGACAAAAATGCCTTGTTGGTGTCAGAGGTAGAGGAGAATGGGCAGACTGGTTCGAGATGATAGAAAGGCAACATTAACTCATATCAATATGGATCAAATTTTCTGAGAAATGTTTCCAACACCTTGCTGAATCTATGCCACAAAGAATTAAGGCAGTTCTGAAGGCAAAAGGGAGTCCAACCTGGGACTAGCAAGATGTACCTAATAAAGTGACCTGTGAGTGTAATTCCAGCACATAGTAATATAGTTACATAGTTAGTCTGGCTAAAAAAAAGACAAAAGTCCATCTATCCATGCACAGATGAGTTTATTAAGCTCCGACACAAAGACATTCCATGAACACAATCTCTTTTACAGTGAAAGCTTACTGCCCAACAATGTTTTGTAAAAGGACATTAATTCCACTTTAAGTCCTGACCAAAATAAAGGTAATATGTACAAAACCAATATCTTAGATTGTAAGCTCTAACACTTGTTAGGGCCCTCTGCATCCTCCTGTATTCATTTGTATTGTAATTGTACTGTCTGCCCTTATGTTGTAATGTGCTGCGTAAACCGTTGGCGCTATTTAAATTCTGTATAATAATAATAATATATAGTACATTCCTTTCAACCGACCTCTGTTTTCCTAAACTCCTCCATTAGGTGCTGAGACTCTTCCAGGATCCTCTCCTCTATACTTCTCTTCCCCATACTAAAGTTCTTCAGGGTGGCCAAAGAGAAACGACGCATCACTTTCCAGCGCTCCCCATTGCTAAATATAATTCCTACAGACAAATACACTCATTATTAGTAACAAGTAGATATAAAATACAAATTAATGCAGCTCCGTAACCATAAATAAATATCGTTATATGTATATTTTTCAGTATATGTATTTTTAATGCAAGCATTGTAACCTGAATTTGACTTTGTATCAGCCTCTGGGAGTCTCTGTATAGCAGTGTTCCAACACGGAGGGGCAGGCACAAGACTGGGAGGCAATCTGCATGCTGGTGTGCTAACAAGAAACATGATAAAAGGAGGAGACGACAAAGACACAACCTCACCAGTCTCCTTCTATTCAACGAACACCAGTCTCCTTCTATTCAACAAACAGGCTGGGGCAAAGGAGAGGACACCACTGTATTCCTTTCATAGTCTATACCTGTAAGGGCCCATTTTGCACCCAAACTCAGGAAGATGCAGTGCAGACCCTAGTTTTTCTGAATGGAGGTGAACTGCATTGGACAGCCCATTCAAAAGGACTGGACTTTGAATTCACCTCTACTCATGAAAAAAAAAAATAGGTGAGTGAAATAAATAACAAGGGGTTGGTTTCCTTAGAATCCCCCTATTTATTATACAATTATGTACTATTTGTCTGTTCCTATAATTAATTAGTAAATATATAAGCTTTGACAATATTGAAGGATGTAATATACTGCAATATTAGCTACAATAGCAAACACAATGCTGAAAGAAGAAAGGTCTTATTTATTTATAGAGAAAGTAAAACCCTAACAGAGAAATCTAAACTAATATTACAGAGTATATAGGAATAATAGTAAAGATGATATGTTACGTAAGTTCGTCTCAAAGTTGAGTATCTTTTAGCTGGTCCCACGTAGGAAAATAGTCACAGAGAGCGAGAGACACGGTCAATATTGTATTTAAGAGCCCTCTCAAGCTCTACCCACACACACACCCTTGACCCACCTTGTGTAGTTTTACATCCAATGAGCAAACATCCATAACTCATAAGGGGCTGTCCTCCTTATTTATTAGGAAGTGTAGGGTTACCCCAACCATCCTCCCGGAAGTAGGTCATCTCCACCAAGGGGCACTGCTGTATTGCCACCAAAGCTTGGACCCAAGGCCAATCACATCTGGCTCCTTCCTTCTGGCTAATCTGTCCTTTAATTATGAATGGCACTGGGGCATCTGGGCTGAGGCGCTCTTATCTCCATGCCCCACCGCTAGGGGGTATGTGTGAATTCCCAGAAGGAGGATTTTGGTATACAGCCTTTTGTTACACATCCTGTCGTAAATACTTACTTTTCTTGACACTCCAAGATAACATTCAATAGGCCAAATAGTTCTCTGACAACAAGAGGCAGTAAGAATCCATAAATGTCTGATATAGAAACATGTTGCCTTCAAACAGTGAGTCTGCGTTTTTTTGTCATGGTGAGCTACTGTGCATTAATGCACCATGGTATTGGGAATGTGTCCTAACAAAGTGATGTCATATGCTTGACTGCACATGGCAGAAGAGCTAAGTAAATCTCAGGGTTGGACATACAGATATCCAATTGCTTTGATGTATAAAACTCTAAGCTCAATATTCCTATCATCCATGGATTTAGCTGTTCTCCTGGAATCTAGGTTTAAAGACACTGAGGTGGATTCTATGCAGGCCATCAAGATTTCTATTGTTCTTACCATAGTCATTAAACAGCATTTTTACAGTGGCTGCACTCCCTCTGTTACTGAAAACATCGGCATTGTCCACTAGAGCCTCTTTCACAGTATCATAGCCATGTAGGAGGACGACTGTCCTGGTCCCCAGTTGAACAGTAAATATGTCTCCATGAACCTTGGCAAGCTACAAGAAAATTTACACAAGATTAGATCACTAATATCATGGTACTGTAGATGACCTGGTTCATTTAATACGCATGAATATTTTATGAGTGCCATTCCATCATTGTACAGCCTTATCAAGTAGATTTGTCTCTGATAAAGTTTAATGTGCAACAGCAATATTAAGACATTTTCCATGCAAACATTAAATATACTTTCAAATTACTTTGTTTGCTTTGTATACGGAGTATGCCAGAATCCAGATAATATTTGATTCAGATATATCCCTACAAGTCAAAAGTTTAACTCCAGCCAAAACTGTTAGGTAAAGGGAAAAGGTTAAAAGCTCTGTCTTTTTTTGTTGTTGCCTTGTCCCCACTAGGAAAATTTCCCTGCACTTCCTGTCTCAGAGTACGAACAGGTATATGCAAATCTCTCCAAATTAGGGGAAATCCCACCTCTGATGACTGTCATGACACTTCCAAAACACACTGTCCTACTTGTTGTAACCAGTTGAACAATAAAGACTTTGTATAAGCAGGTGGATGTAAAGCATTTTATGTTACAATAAACTGTTGAATTATTTCCAGGTTAAAGTGTTACTAAACCCTGGATCCTGCATTCACTATATCTGGTTTCCCACAGTACACACAACATGGAAATGCAATTATTTTAGTAAATATAAACTGCTAAATACATTTTCTCATCAGCAGTTAGAGCAGTCTTGTGACTTCTATCAGCGTCCAGCAGAGCACTGGTAAAACTTGTAGGTAGCATGTTCATTCTCCCCTGTATGTCCTATGAGGCTGCATAACCCCTGACCCTCTGTCTGGACAGTGCTGATAGCTCTGTGCTGATCACATGTACTCTCCCAAGAAAAAAAAACTCTCTAGCAATACACACTAAGCTGAGCATGTACAGTTTGCCCCCCCCCCCCCAGGCTCTGTGCTATCAGCACATGGATAGGGGACAGTAGAAGAAGGGGAGGATCAGAGAAGGCAGGCTCAAACAGCCTTCTCACACAAATGTGGAGGATTAGCCCATTAGGTTCCACAATGAGTGTAACAAGCATGCTTTACTGCATATACAGACTGATTTTACTGTTGTGGGTTTGATATCACTTTAATGTATTCAGGTTAAACTTGTGTAGTGTTATTTAGGTGTACTACACTGTTTTGGTTTGTTGCCCTGCTAAAGTGATATTTTTATTATACAGGATTTATATAGCGCCAACAGTTTGCTCAGCGCTTTACAATAAAAGGGAGACAATACAGCAACAATACAGTTCTAATACAAGAGGGTTAGGAGGGCCTGATCCTGGGAGCTTACAATCTAATAAGGTGGAGCTGCTGGAATAAAAGGTAATAACTGTGGGGGATGAACTGATGGGAGAAATAGAAAATATTTGGTTATCAGCTGAAGGCAAGATAGGCTTCCCTGAAGGGATTTGTTTTCAGGGATCGCCTAAAAGTGGACAGAGTAGGTGATAGTCAGACAGATTGGGGTAGAAAGTTTCAGAGGATGGGGGAGGCTCTGGTGAAGGCCTGGAGACAAGCAGAGAGGCAGAGACAAGGGTGCTAGAGAGCAGGAGGTATTGGGAGGAGCGGAGAGTACGGTTTGGGTGATATTTGGAGACAAGATTGGTGATGTAATTTGGGTCAGAGTTATAAATGGCTTTATTTGTTATTGGTAATGTTTTGAATTGTATTTATTAGGTAGTGGGAAGACAGTGGAGGGATTGGCAGAGTGGGGGTGGCAGACATGGAACGTTTGAGTTTGAGGAAGTGGTGTGACATCCATGCTATGTCAATTAGTAAGTTAGTAGTATGCAAGAGGAGACTGAAGAAGTGAGGTCAGGAGTAGAGAGATGGATTTGTGTGTCATCAGCATAGAGATGGTACTTGAAGCCATAGGAGTTTTTCAAGTGACTAAGGTAGGAGGTGTAGATAGAGAAGAGAAGGGGTCTGTGGACAGAACCTACAGCAAGAGGGAGTGGAGAGGAGGAGACAGAGTTATAGGTAACACTGAACCAAGAGAACTGAAAGAGCAGAGTCTCGGAGGCCAGGTTTTTTTGAGGAGGAGGGGATGGTCAACAGTATCAAAAGCCACATAGAGGTCTAGTAGTAAGAGTATGGAGTAATGGCCATTGGTTTTAGCAGTTAGCAAATAATTTGTTTGTTTTAGTAGGGCAGTTTCAGTGGAGTATAGTAAGTGAAAGCCAGACTGTAAGGGGTCAAGAAGGTTGCTGTCAGTGAGGTGGGAGCTCAGAGGATTGTAGTCTAAGTGCTCTAAGAATTTAAAGGTAAACAAGAGGAGGGAAATGGGTCTTAAGTTGTTCAGGTTGGAGGGGTCCAGTGACGGTTTTTTAAATATAGGGGTGATCAGTGAATGTTTTAGAGGGGAGAGGAAGGTGCCAGTAGAGAGGGAGAGATTGAAGATGAGAGTGAGGGAGCATAGAGTAGAAGAAGAGAGTGACCATTGTAGTTGTGAGGGAACAGGATCCAGGGTACAGATGCTAAGGCAGGCTTGTGAGAAAATGTTAGTTACCTCTTTGGTAGTATCAAGGTCAAAACAGGAAAGTGTTGAGTTTTATTTAGTGTAGGGTATGCTAGGTGAGATAGATATTTGTACAGTGGAGATGCCCCCATGAATTACATCAATCTTGTTTTTGAAACGATTGGCAATCTCATGAGCAGTGAGTGGTTTACTGGGTGTAGGTGGTGGAGAAAGTAGAGAGTTAAAAGTAGAGAAGAGACGACGAGGACTGGATGAGAAGGTATTAATAAGAGTGACAAAAGAGGCTTGTTTGGCAGCATGAAGGGAGGACTTGTATTTTAAGAAGGCATATTCATATAGAGTGAATGCTTGCTGGGATTTGGGTTTGTGCTACAATCATTCTAGTGCACGGCTATGTCTGGTGTCGTCAGCCTGCCAAGTTGTAATTGTCAGGGCCTGATACTTCATGCAGTTAGAGGAGCAAGTGAGTCCAGTGTGGATGAATGTGAATTGTTGTAGACAGAAGTGGCCAGATCAGGGCAGGACAGGGGAGAGATTCTGTCATAGAGGTGGTCAGTTGCAGAGTAGAAAAGAGAAAGATTAAAGTGGTGAAGGTTGCTCAGGGTAATTGTTTGCTGCTTGGAGGGATGGGTGGTTGAAGACAAGGACACTGTGAATGTGATGAGGTTGTGATCGTAGAAAAGAAAGGGGGTGTTGGTGAGGTTGTAGGAAGTGCAAAGATGGGAGAAAACAAGGTCTCCACCTTCTTTCCAACCACTGGCTCTGAGTGAGTGAGTCCAGTGGAGGCCTCCATTGGAGAGGGCCACAGGAGATGCAGAATGTGATGCTTGAAGCCAGGTTTCTGTAATTGCAAGTAGGTTAAGGGAGTGGGAGACTAAAAAGGTCATGGACAGAGGTGGGCTTGACAGAGTTCACATATAAAAGGCGGTTGGTTTTTGGGAGCAGGGGGATCGAGATTAAACTGAGTGGATTGCAGCTATTGCTGGAGGAAGGAGGGTGTATTGTGTTGGGGTGAGATACTGGAGGACAAGGGTTTGGGGAGATATCCCCAGAGGTTAGGAGAAGAAGGAGGGTAAGGAAAGTAAGATGGGAGTAGGATATATATGAGTGCACATGTCTTCCTCTCCTGGAGTTTGGGTTAGCAGGGGGGTTAAGTATTAGCAAGAGGTGAGCAGTAGTAGGGAGATGGTAGCAGTGAGGGTGAGATGTACAAGCTTTGGGGTGGAGAAGAGGGGGTACAGAAATTAGATTTTGAGAACAGAGGATACTAATATGAGAAGGAAAAATAAAGGGGGCATATTAAAAGGTAGATGGAGTAGGAATCAGATATATGCTGAGAGGTTAGCACTGCTGGCTAGGTTTTCTCTGGCTTTTTTGGGGGAGGTATTGCCCTCTGCTCGGGCAAACACATATAAGGGAAGGAACCACTTCTTGGGGGCGTCGCTGTTAGTATGTAGGCCAGAGGCCCAAGTATGCTGCTAAGGATGTGATCCCCTACTTGCACTTAAACAACTCAGTCAGGGTTCCAGGAGTAGGGACGCATTATTTGACATCAGTTTGAGATGCTTTTGAGATCACTTGGAATTCATTGACAGATGCATTTGACCTGCATGTTACCTGCTTCTAATGGATTTTACACTCCCATAGACATGTATGGAAATGCAATATCAATCTGAAGCAAACAAAAGCCCATCAATACATGCCCTTAGATCTATACTTACCATTTTTTAATGAAATGTGGTTTAGCAAAATGCAACTTGCAGCATTCTTGAGAAGGGAAATGTGGAAGCTTCACTGCATCAAGCCACAAAGATTGTCCCTATGCAGTGCAGTCAGTTGGGTGCCAAAGCCTAAGCCCGACTACTCTCCATGTATCACATGCCACTACGAAGAAAGAGGCTGGAATGAAATGACGTCCGACAATTTTTTATTGTTGGACAGCACACGCTGCTTTCTTACACCCTGGGCCCGCCCTTCCAACACATTTTACCCCTCTGGGCTTGGTGATAGAGATCTCTATGGTGTGTGTTGTCCAGCAATAAAGCTGTCAATTTCTGTGACGTCATTGAAATGTGACCCCTTTTTCATAGTGGCATATACTGTATGTCTGCTCTTCTGCCTGATTTTCAGAAAACTCATACTTTATGGTTTAAAAGGGTCCAACAAACAACAGCTAAAATACCCATTACCACATGTTAAATTATTCATTTTTAAAAACCACACTGCACTGAAAGATGGCAGGAAGGATGTAAGAAACATCTCCTCATCTCCATAACATGGAGGAAGTTCTGTAGTTCACATAATTAAACTCATCAGGAAGACAATACTGCCTTAGATAACATTGTAGAGAGCTCAAGATACAGGACAACACCATGATTTCTGGAAGAACTGACAGGGTTTTTTTTTTTGCACATATTGAGCAGATATAACAAAATGCATCCAAGTATAACAAAGACCAAATGGGAGCAAATAAAGAAGATTATTGTAGGGGTTCATAAATATTTTAATGTTCTTAAACCTAAAGCTCAGTTGCAACTCAAACTTTTTTTTTTTTAATTTGATTTTGTACAAAGTGGGGAAAGGGTTAGAACTTATGTCAGGTTTTTGTTGATGTCTGTGTTCCCAGTGGGGTGTTTTACCCTCTCTTCCAGTCCTGATGACCGCTTGCCACAAGGACAGAAAGTGATGGGAATAGAAACAGCAATGCAATCACATCCATTTAATGGATTATGGAAAAGTTAGAGCCTCCATAAAGATTTTAGGTTTTTTTCTTTATTTCTTTTTGTCCAGATGACATCCCAAGCCTTTCTTTTTCTGTTGTAATATTGACAGCAAGTGAAAGGAAATCTCCCCAATAAGGAAAATGCAAAATACAAGCTTGGGCTTTGAGGTTGTGACTTTTATCCACTCTGCATTATCAAAAAAAGGTGGAGTTGGATTTAGGGATCCATGCATACTGGGCATAAAAATACTACTTATACAGGCTTTTGGCATTTTTTTCTTCAGCTTGTAAAAGCAATTCTTTGTGCGCCTATGTGTCCATGCACATTAAGGGGTTTACAGGCATATTTGCAGGCTAGTGTTTTTAGGTAATAAAAAACCCCATCAGAATCACATTTTTGAGAGGAGCTATTGGGCAGAAGAAACACTGGATGCACATAAACACTCAATAGCACATAAACACGGTGTTTAGGACCGCTCAACAAATGTACATTGATTATGGTGAAAAATTAGGAGAGGGGAACATTTTGGAAATAAATATTTATAAAAGCTAATGCCCATAAATGTTCATACAGATCACAAAAAAACACAGATAATAAGCATCCAATGTGTAATGGAGTCCTTCATTAACCCCTTCCCACCAAGCCCTGGGTTTCCTTTGGTAGAGTCTTTATGCCTGGGGGAGGGAAGTATCGGCCAAACACATGACCACTGTGAACTGGCTGTCATAGTGGTCTCATAATCTGGATCTGGTTCTGTTGGTTACTGTTGGTTACTGATCACTACTAGAGACCAAGCACTGCCTTTGACAGCTCAGTCACTGTGCTGGGAGTGTGCTCTCAGCAAAGAAACCTCTACCACCCATGAATACACATATGTGGTGTGTTACCATTAAAGCCCATTCTGTTTGCCACCGCACATATGACTTCCGTGGTTGGCAAGAGGTCTCTCAGTTATACCAGAAAATTATACATTATAGCCTATAACTCTCCTTGTTATAGGTACCAAACTGTGCTCACCTTTAGAAGCGACTTTGGCAGCTCTTTCATGTTCACTTGTAGAATGTTTCCAACAAAAGGAAGAGGAGCAGGTCCAGGAGGCATATTCTTCCTCTTGTTGCTGCTAATCCACGTCATGAGGAATATGAGAGCTGTAACACAGACTGCCAAGAGCAGAGTGCTTGCTCCTCCGAGCTCCATTGTAGCCGTGAAGGGTTCTCAGGGTCACTATAATGCAGAGACAACATGACACTAGATGTAAAATTTACTCCTTAGCACATGTGTACTATACCAGCCTTACACAACCCTTCCTCAACAAACGAATCCTTGAATGAATTTTCAAGCCTCAGGAAACCCCTGCTAATTTATTACATCTACAGCTCATGGTACATCAGAATGTTGTGTAAGTTGTAGATATATTAATACTTAAAAGAATATAGAATGTGGCATACATAGTATACCCTCTCACAACTCTCTCAATAACATAAAATTGTTTTAATTAATAATCATGAAAAAATAATAGCTAAACAAAAAAAAACATAGACAGTGAAAATGCAGTGTCTCTTAAATTGGGCTGATCCCACCTGAGCTATCCTGCCAGGAAGCTGTCACTGCGAACAGCCAATCATAACCAGCAGAGACATTCCCCGCAGCTGCCATATACAATGGGCACTCCACAGCAGGCTTGGACTGGACATAGGGCACGCCAGGCATTTTTTGGGACAAGGGGTGGGCACAGAGAACACGTGCCCAGGGTGCAGCTTGTGTAATGTGGATGGAGGGGTGCAGGTAGCATTGCTAGCACTGGGCATTCAGTCGCTGCCCTGCTTCAATCACTGGCACCTGCATCATCCCTTACTGCCTGTCATCATAGTCAAACAGAGCCAGGGAAGCTTCGCCTAGGCACCTCCTTGGCTCTGATGTGCCCTATGTAGGAAGACGAGGAGGAACCTGGAAGGATGAACATTTCCTGCCCCGATATTGAGCCATCATGTATACACAGTCTGAGGGCTGTGTATGGAAGAAATGGCAGTGGACTTTGATAGATGAAAGAAGAGTAAAGGAGAGAAGGTATGGAGAGACGTGGAGGAGAACAATTATAGAGAGGTAGAGTAGAGTAGGTATTGATTGAAAAGAACAATAGTGACTAGAGAGTGAAATGGTGGTAGAAGGGAAGGAGAATGATTCAAAGATGAGCATTGCAATGATGAAGGTAAAGGAGAATGTTTAGGGTACAGAGCATGCAAAAGTAATGCCTTTATATGCACATGAACTTTAATGGCATCCCAGTCTTAGTCTGTAGGGTTCAATATTGAGTTGGCCCGCCCTTTGCAGTTATAACAGCTTCAACTCTTCTGGGATGGCTGTCTACAAGGTTTAGGAGTGTGTCTATGGGAATGTTTGACCATTCTTCCAGAAGCGTATTTGTGAGCTTAGGCATTGATGTCGGATGAGAACGCCTGGCTTGCAGTCTCCACTTTAATTCATCCCAAAGGTGTTCTATCAGGTTGAGGTCAGGACTCATGTCTTTATGGACCTTGCTTTGTGCACTAGTGTGCAATCATGTTGGAACAGGAAGGGGCCATTCCCAAACTGTTCCCACAAAGTTAGGAGAATAAAATTGGCCAAAATGTCTTGGTATGCTGATGCCTTAAGAGTTCCCTTCACTGGAACTAAGTTTGGAGGTCTTTAGTTACTGACTCTGCAGACATTTTGCGATGTCTGTGCACTGTGTGCTTCAACATGCGCTGACCCCCACTCTGTCATTTACGTGGCCTACCACTTCATGGCTGAGTTGCTGTTGTTCCCAGTTGTTTCCACTTTGTTATACCACTAACAGTTGATTGTGCAATATTTAGTAGCAAGGAAATTTCATGGATGGACTTATTGCACTGGTGGTCACGTATCACTGTACCACGCTTGAATTCACTGAGCTCCTGAGAGCGATCCATTCTTTCACAAATGTTTGCAGAAGCAGTCTGCATGCCTAGGGGCTTGATTTTATACATCTGTGGTAATGGAGGTGATTGGAACACCTGAATCCAATGATTTTAAGGGGTGTCCCAATACTTTTGGCAATATAGTGTATATACAGTGTATATACAGTATATATATATATATAGTATATATATGATATATATAGAGATAGTTAGAGCTTCCTGGTAGGATAGCTCACGTGGGTTTGGACTCATGTTTGTACACTCCTGAGCTCATTCCTGGTGGCTATCAATTCCCTTTACAGACATAATTGATGTCAGTGGTTACTGTGAGACAGCTATTGTTTTTTGGTGACAGAATACCTTGCAGCCTTGATGGAACCCTGGTTGAGAAAGGTTGTAGTATACTATACTGTACAATGCTATAATATACTACAGTAGTTGTCTATGAAGCCCCAAATTCTTGCAGGTGATATAACAGCCCATTTGTATTGGCAACATGCCTCCAGCTTATGCAGTGTTTGTTCATCTTGCATGAACCGCACATTTGAGATCTCTCCAGAGTGTCTCAATGATATTAAGGTCAGGAGACTGTGATGGCCATTCTGGAAGGTTCATCTTTTTCTGATGTAACAACTGTGAAGGTCAGCTTTGCCTGATGCTTAATGTAATTTTCCCCCTGGAAAGTTCAAGAGCATCTCATTCGTAGCTTTTGTACAGAAGAATGCAAATTGTCTGATAACATGCTAAATTGATCTTGCCATATTTTTTTAACAAGATTCCCCCTGTCTTTAGAGCTCACACACCCACAAAACATCAGTGGTCCACAACCATGATTCACAGTGGGGATGGCATGTTTGTCAGTTGCCTTGTCGGCCCCTCTCTAAACATAGTGCTTATGGTTGTGACCATAAAGCTCTATTTTAGCATCGTCACTCCTTATTACACTGTACCAGAAGCTGTGCGGCATGTCAAGATGCTGTCAGGCGTATTGTAACTGTGATTTTTTGTGGCATTGCCGCTTTAAAGGCTTCAACTTGAACATGCATTTGTTCATATTTCTTCAAGTATTGTGCTACTTAAAACAACTATGCCGTCTTTTTCCAGAGAAGCCTTTATTTCTTCTGGGGCCACCTGTGGGTTTTTCTTTGTATCCTGAACAATTCTGGCAGTTGTGGCTGCAATCTTCCTTGGTTTACCTGATCTTGACTTGGGATCAAGAAACCCCCGAATTTTCCACTTAATAATAAATGATTTACAGTACTGACTGGTATATTCATGGCTTTGGATATCTTTTATAACCTTTTTATTCTTTATCAAGTTCCATTACTTTGTTACGCAGGTCTTTTGACAGTTTTTTGCTGCTTCCCATGGCTCAGTATCTAGCCTGCTCAGTACATCCATTTGAGAGCTTACAAACCCATTTACTATTTATACACAGACACTAACTTTAATTTAAAGAGAAATTGACCATTAATTTCCATTTTAACCTGTGTGTGTGTCACCTTGTGTGTCTGTAACACGATAAAATATTCCAGGGTATGCAAACTGTTGATCATGGCCATTTGGGTGATTTCTGTTATCATTATGATTTAAAATGGAGCCAAGCAACTATGTGATAATAAATTGCTTTATATGATATAAAAATGCAGCGCTATATATAGGGTTTGTACTGATAAGAATAAAAAACACAAATAAAAATCATCAATAGTATATCTGGCGTTAATCAAACGACAGTAATAAACAGAGTCTATAGCAGTGACACTATAAGGTGCATATAGTGACTGATATCTGCAAGTTGTCACATCCCGCGACGTGATGGTATAACGTTATTAGCGATTCCTGTGCTCATAAGTGGATATATAGTATGCACTAACCAGATAGCGCACACATCTGCGCATTTGAGTTATCAGACCACTCCTGGTACTCTGGAACTGGAAGGAAAAGATTCTGGAGATCATCTGGCAAACCAGCAGCCCAGCAGGTGATCAGCATATCATCTATTCCAACTGTGGTAACTCATCCATCCAGCAGGGGGTCATCATCCATGTATCATGAATCCTCAGATGTCCAGTTAGGAATCCCACCAGCTTAGGCATAGAGTGTCAAAGTAGGAATCCACCTTGAAGGGGGGGGGGGGGGGGGGGCTCGTGGTGCAGCGAGCCCAAAACAGAAACTTCGATAGTGTAGTATTTTAGATTTTTTATTGATATTTGTCAAAGCAGATATACACTCACATGTAAGGGGATATAACAGAATCAAAGATGGCCACCGGCCTCCGCGTGGCTCGAACGGCGTGACGTCACCGGCCAGGCTCCACTCTGACGCGTTTGGTGCTTACGGTCACAGCGTGCGGAAAAAACTGCCGATATCCGGCAATTGCCAGAAAAGTGATTGGCACTGATCATCAGGGCACTGATGATAACTGTCCTGATTATCAGTGTCAGCAATGCTGCCCACTTGTACCCATCAGTGCCACCCACCTGTGCCCTGCAGTGCCACCTACTGTGCCCATGTGCCACTGCCCTGCAGTGCTGCCCAGCAGTGCCCAGTTTGTGCTTTATATGGTGCCCTTTGCTTTACTATGTGTAAATAAAAGACAGTTTTTTTTATCGCATGATCAGTCATAGTTTCAATATCAATGCCCAAATTTCACAATTTATGCCAGGATATGCAAACTTTTGAGCACAACTATTTATCAGTGATAGGGCAGTAGCATTTTTATTAGACCAACAGATAAGAGCAGTCCGTGAGATCTCATCGAAACCTCATATGATCACAGCTAGCCAGAGAGGGATTCCTATTGTATGATATGTATATAATAGAAAGTTTATACCTTGTAAACTTATGCTTAGCCAATTCCAACTCTTCTGTGCCTTAAAAGTAGGCTTTAAAAGATTTTCTTGATTGCCAAACTATGCCCCTTAGCTTTTTACCTAGGTTTCCTACACAACATCTCAAAAAATCAATAAACCCCATTCTATCCTTTATTATAAAACTTTGGGCATCAATTAATTATCTGCAGGCCTTACTTCTCCATTTCTTCCTCTAGAGAAATTTCTTCAATTTCCATTTTTCCCCCTTTATCAGAAAGTTCTACACAGTTTTGTTAGTGCTCACACCATGGTTTTCACACTATATATATTCTCTTACTTCTATAGGAGTTGTCTATTACCAACAGCTTTGCACCACTCATGACATTCCAGTGGTATAGCATTTCTGATATGTGCAGCTTAGACACTTGTGTGCATTCGTTTCTACATC